AGTGTGAGTGTGTGTGTGTGTGTGTGTGAGTGTGAGTGTGTGTGAAGGTACCTCTGGCTCCTCTGGCAGGGGTTCGGGGAGCAGGGGTCGATGCTCCTGCAGGAGCCGAACACAAACTGGTTGTCCTTGAAGCCGACGCAGCGCGCCACACAAGCGCTGGGATATGTGCGTCCGTTGCGAGCGCAAACCGGCACGAAATGATCGGCGCAGCTGCAGGGAAGCCCTGAGAGAGAAACCACACCAAACACAACTAGTCACAAACACCCAACTGATTTACAAACGACTGTTTTACTCATTTAAAAAGGTCTTGAAAAATTGTTCTGTTTATTCAATAATAAAATATAGTTGTTTTATTGATCTACTTCAATATTTTATTTATTTGTTTACTTTATTTATTTACATTATTCAGTTTTTGCCTGTTATTTTTTTTAGTAGAAATTACTGTGAAGTCTAACATATATGGAAGTGCTTTTCCACCAAAAAATATAAATAAATAAATAAATAAAATGATGAAAATGGTAATTGCAACTTTTTATCTCACAATTCAGACATTTTTCAGAACTGCAATCGTCAGAATTACAGGAAGTGAACATGGAATAGTGAGGTTACAGTCAGCATTCTGAGTTCATATGAGTTTTTATCTTCAAAACTGGGAGGAAAAAAGTCACAAATACCTAAAAAGTATCATTTTTTTCTTGCAATTCTGAGTTTATATCTCATAATTACTTTTTTTGACTCAACCACAGAATAAAAAATAAAAGAAACGGTAACTGCAACTTTTCATCTTTTATTTTTTCAGAACTGCCAAGGTCAGAACTGTAAGCTGCAAACTCAAGATTTGCAAGAGAAAAGTCTGAATTCTGAATTCATATCTCGCAACTCAGAATTCTGACGTTTCTCTTGCATTTTCGAGGATATATCTTAAAATTCAGAATTTATATCTCACATTTCTGACTTTTTTCTTGCCGTTCTGTGTTTATATCTTGCAATTCTGTTATGAAAAGTTGCAATTACCTAAAAAGTCAGAAGTGCGAGATGAAAAGTGAGGGTTATTGTTCATTGTTTAATGGTGTGGATGAAACGGCTCATAAACAGCAGTGGAGCTGATGGTGAAGCACAGACCTGTGAAGAGCCGTCTGTCCTCGTCCGAGCCGTCGGAGCGCACACACTGACGAGACGAGCAGATGCTTTCACCGGCGAAGCAGGAGCAGGGCTGACAGTCGACCCGGAACGACACACCGTGACCTGCATATGAGACCATCACGAACAAAACATTCACTCCTGCCGGATATACAGCGCTGGACAAAATCATTACAACACTAGCATTCTCAGCAGATAAAATGGTTTTAAGTCAGTTATTTCTATCTTTTGCTGGAGTGTGTCAGTAGGAAATATCAGCTTACATTTCCAAACATCTGCTAAACGTTTGAGGCACTTGTGTAAAAATGCTGTAAAATGAGGATGCTGTCAACAATAGTGTCATAAATAGATTTCTTTATCAATTAACTTCTATTAACTAAATTAAATCATCATTTGGTGTGAGCATCTTTGTGTTTAAAGCAGTTTTTTCCCTCGGTGCACTTGAGCAGAGTTTCTCAGGAGCTTCGCAGGAGGTTTCTCGAAGCGTCTCGGAGACATTATATATAGCTCAGTGCATACTATACGTTTAGTTTCCGTAAGAACAGATCTCTGAGATCAGACGCGACTATAAAGCACAGCACATCTGTCTCCAATGAACCCAAGCTGGCGAGCGCTTTAGAAGCAGAGTAAAAATAAACATGAAAGAAAAAGCAATAAACTCATTCAGGTTCAAACCGACAGGCATACAAACCAGCTGTTTACTAAAACACATACTAATAAAAACTAGAGAAAAAAGGAAAATATTTTCACTAATGATATGCATTCGCTTTATTTCATATTTTTTCTATCTTTACATTTACATTTAGTCATTTAGCAGATGCTTTTATCCAAAGTTACCTTAAGTTAGCTTAACGCAGTACACGCGTAATTATGTAATAAATAAAAAGAAAACAGTTAGTAAATCAATAGAGTGCAAGTCTAAAAGGGACAAGTTTTTGACTCATCATTTCATTGGACTATCAAAAGTTAAAACATTTCGAAATGAAACACAAAGCAAAAGATTTAAACTACTTTTTAACATATTATTTGACCAGAAACTACCAAAAGTTAAGATGCTTTAAGACAAAACATAACTTTTAAAATCTACTTTTTGATTCGTTACTTGATTGGAAAATATCAAAAGTTAGACGTTTTAAAACAAAACAAAACAAACAAAACAAAAAATTTTAAATGTACTTTTTGACTCATTTGATTGGAAACTGTCTAAAAATGGTAAAGACCTTTTAATACAAAAAAAAAAAAACAATCCAAAACTAAACCAAACAGAAAAAAACTAAATAAAAAACAAACTGAAACCAAACCAAAACAAAAGCTAAACTTTTAAAATCTACTTTTTGACTCATTTGATTGGAAACTGTCTAAAAAGTTTTAAAACACCTTTAAAAAAACATTTTGACTCGTTATTTGATTGAACTATCAAAACTATCAATAAGATGTTTTAAAACCAAAACACAGCAAAACAAAACAAAAGCAAAACCTAAACAAAATTAAATTAAGCAAGCAAAACTGAGGTGTTCATTGGACTCAATGAATTAAACATGCAATATAGTAAAGTCATGTGACAACAAAATAGTATATTACAACCTCAAATGTTTATGATCGCATACTAATTCACATGAGCTCATTTCAGACACACTGACGGCAGTCACCTCAATGTCAAAATGTGGCCTTATTGTCCTGAATTAACTGTACTTTAAGTAAGCAGCACTCTGTTACTCCATTCTGAACACACCCTCCTAATAAATGCACGTTTGATCAGCTCACAAGTGAAGATGTTTAGGAGTGTTTACCAGGAACGCAGAAGTAGGGCAGGCAGTCGTGTCCGGGGTGGCAGCCCTTTCTGTTGACTTCACACAGGTGACTGCTGGGACAGGGGCTGGGGTTGCAGGGGTGGATGACTTCTTCAATGCTGTTCTCAAAGGGACTGGGAGCTGTGGGAAGCGTGAGGACATCAGTGCACAGCTTGTATCGATCAGACTCAGATCGGAGCGCACACTCACTGAGGTATCTGTGGAGAGGGATGCAGCGCTCCGGGTCGTCCGTGGCCGACAGCAGGTCACAGATGCGCTCGGGCGTCTGTCCCTCGAGAAAGCGCTTGCCATCGCCACACTGCGTCAGGATATCCACACAGTCCGACCTGAGGACACACAGCAGACGATCATCATCATCCTCGATTCTAACCTCATTTATAATGCAGTTCCAATCTGAAGCTAGTGTTCGTATGATGGTCATGTATTGCTGTGCCTATGTAATAAACTGGTGCTTTTATATTATTGTACTGATGGTAAAGTTGTGTAAATGTTATGATAAGGTTATAACGTTCCTCTAAAGCCAATGTATTGTCAATTTTAAAGTAAAGCAAACCTGAGGGTTATTTAGTCTTCATTTAAGGGGTTGTCTATGGAAGCTGGTTCATGCAACACATTAAAAAAATAATAATAATGGTAATTATGACTTTTTATCTCACAATTTGACCTTTTTTTTTTTTTGCAATTTTGAGATATAAACAGAATTGTGAGATATAAACTCAGATATGAACGCAGAATTGTGAAAAATAAAGTCAGAATTGCAAGATATAAACTTGAGATTGCAAGACAAAAAGTCAGAATTGTAAGATAAGTCACAATTACCTTTTTTTAAATTTTTTTATTCTGTGGTGGAAAAAAAACAAAAAACAGTTGCTCAGAAATTCTCAGAATTCTGAGAAAAAAAATCAGAATTGTGTTATCTAAACTCAGAATACTGTATGAAATCAGAATCCAAATTATGAAAACATGTCCAAAAACGTGCAGCTCACTTTTCTGTATTTTTATCTGTGATGGATATCTGCTATTCTGACAGTGTTAATAAATTGTCTCTCCATATTAATGTGATGTTGCGTCAGTGTTCATGAAATGTTTGTTTTTATGAAATTCTAAAACATCAAGACAAGCTATAAACCATTTCAGAATGAAACTTAAAAGCATCGTGATGCGTCGCCCGCCAGCTGTGTGTGAATCTACAGGAATATTCTGGACGTTCATGCAAGGGTCCGGCGGCGGAGCTGTGCTGTTGTAAAGCCATGTGTCGGAGGAACAGAGCTGGCTGCTGTGAAACTAATGTGACCCGTGGCTCAGACGGACGGGATGAAAGCCTGTTTCCTGTTTAGCTCACAGATCGCTGCTCCTCTCGACTGTCCACAAGAGCTTCTTATTTCTCATTCACTCACACTGACAGAAACATCTGTGGTGTTGTGTTTAGCAGCACATTGTAAGACACTTCACTGGCACACTACACACTACACACTACACTAATGCCATCAGTCCAATATCACCAACAACAAACAAAACACAGAACAACAAAAGTACACAAACATACACATAACTAAACATTCTTAAAGATATATATATATATATATACCTTGTATTTTATTTTTATATTTTTAATTTTAGTTAAACTTTTTAGTAATTTTAGTTGTTGTTTTATTGTACTTTTTAGTGGTTTTTGTTTTGTTTACATATGTCTATATTTTTTATGAATTTTTAGTTCATTTCTAAGTTAAACTAAATGAAGTTAAAATAAATGAAAATGAGAAATGTTGCCTTGGAAACTAGATTAAAAAAGATTTTTTAATATTTTATTTCAGTTAATGTTTATTTTAAGTAAGAACATGTTTAAAAAAAGTACTACATATATATTTAATGACTTTGTCAGTTTCTTGAGAGGCAGCACAAATGCACTACAATAAAGCCTTTTAAGTAAGCCAATTATTTTTTTTTAAGTATTACTAACAAACCACATAATGTGCATTTGATTCTCTCAAAAGAACCAACTCGGAGTCGTTCATTCAGGAATCGGACAACAGTTTTTGTGCTCTATGTTTTTGATCGAGTAAAAAGAATCGACTCATAAGATTCATTCCGTGCTGTTTTGTTCACCAGCTGTAGATTCAGTAGTGGTGTTGCTGCTTTAATAAATATATTGTATTTTAGTACAATATTCCCTCACTATTAGAGGAAGAATGCATTTGGTTACGCGTTCTGTTTTTGATTCACTATAAAGAACCGGCTCATAAGAGTCATTTGTTCGGGAATTGAACTACGCTGGTGGCACTGCATACTTCTGATTCACAAAAAAGAATCAACTCCGAGTCATTCATTGAGAATCAGACTACTACAGCAGTTGTGTGATTTGTTTTTGATTCACTAAAATGAACCGACTCATCAGAATCATTTGTTCGGGATTCAGACGACTCTGAGTTCTGGTTTCTCCTCATGTGCTTTCCTCTGAAACACAAACAGTGAGTCCTGCTGGAACAGGAGCTGGAGCTTGACTGATGCATGCTGGGTCACAGCGTTCTCCTGCGTGAGCACATCTAACCCTCACCAGAGACACACACTGCACTGCACTATTTCTGATAAAACACCAGACTACTGACTAGAATCTGTTTCTCAATGCTGACAGTGTTTTGATATGATTTGCTCTCTGAATGTCCATGCTGTGTTCAGAAAATCCAACGCAACACTGAAACGCCCAACAGATACTTCTGTTTCAAAAGATCTGCGCTAAAGCAACATGCAGGTTTAAAACTCAAAGCCATCATACAACAACCTGCAATTATGTTTCATTCTCACTGCATTACAGGAATCTGAGCACTGTGACTGAACACACCACAGAACACCAGCATCAACTGAAAACAGCTTGCTTGTGGACAAACAAAATGTGGATTATGAGACTTTTATATGCCAACAAAACATTTTTTGGTCTAGTGCATGAAAATAACATGTGGATGTCAAGAACAGGCCTCGATATATTCTGATTCAAAAGCAAAGGGGGGGAGGGGTGATAATAATAATAATAAAATTAAAAAATAAATAAAAATTAGGATTTATTGTCAAATTTATTGTAAAAAGCACATTTCCCCCAAACTGTCATTACTGTAACAAAAAAAATCATTCTATTTAATGCAAAATAATTAAAGCAATTTTATATTATAACTACAAAGTATTTATATATATTATATTTTTTATTGTGCTGATCGTTGTTTTATATACTTTTTTCTATTTACAGGTTTTTTCAGCTGCTTACACACACTGATTTTCAAAACTTTGCCTCTTTTTTCAAAACTTCACACACAAATCCAAAAATTGCACAGAAAATGCAAAATGCCTCACATTTCTTGCAAAATGAAGCGCTGCATTCACAATATCACAAACACATCTCAAAAGCAAACATTTGCCACAATATGAATTCCTGTTAGATTTGTGTGTTGCATAGAGAATTGTGTTGTGTTTTGCAAAAAGTGTTTTATGAAATTGAAAACTGAGTCAAAGGCTGAGTATTAGTGTATGGTTTTGTAGATTTGGTGCATGCTTCTGCTGTTTGAGTGTCAGCTTTCAGAAACTGTGTCACAAGTAAAGGTTTTGTGTGTAAGCATCTGAAAAAAAACCATTACATTAGTAAGAATATAATGACTTCTGAAAATAAATGTAAATGATTGTGGGATATTTTATTAATTGTCATAAAATGCATTTACAAAAGAAAAAGTACAGGCTTGTTTAGATGATTTTTTGTGTTTTGCTACAGCACATGATGGAGACGAGGATGAAGGCTGACCTGCAGATGACGCTTCCTCTGGACTTGCTGTAGCAGGGTTTGATCTGCAGCGCACAGGCCACAGTCTTCCACATCTCCGGCTGGCACCTGCTGATGTCCAGCACAGGGATGTTCATGAAGGGCATCTTGATGGTTCCGTTGGACCAGAGTCTGAAGTCGTTCATGGCGCCCTGGTCTGACTGAACGTTACAGCTGCGAAACAGCTCCGTCGGCCTGAGAACACAAAAACAGCGAGGCGAGACGATGATTTACAACAGAGCAACAGCACAGACTAAACCTGCGAGACAGCAGATGATGCTAGAGACACTGCAGGCATTAAAACCAGCTCTGTTTCTAATTTAAAGCAGACTCGAGTTGCTTTGTGGAATTGCCTTCTTATTGCATCCCAGAAGGCCATTGTTCACTAGCAGCCGCGTCCCGACAAAGCTTTGGGAAGAGGGACTTCCTCAGGAAACCTGAAGCCGAGAGCAGCTTTTAATCTTTCTAACGATCGGCTGTTTTATAGAGCTCAGTGTGGGACGTGGAGCTGAGGTTCTGCTTGTGGTTAGACGCTGATTCCTGCTCATTTGCAGCTTTATTGTTTGGGTGTGGTGCTGATGGGCTTGACCAAAACCAAAAACACTCTTTACTGGCTTTATATGAACCTTCCATTCTTCAAAGAACTTTCCACTAAAATATCGGGCAGCACAACTGTTTTCAACATTGATAACAATCAGAAATGTTAATATAATATAAAGTCCCAGCTAACAGGGAATGTTCTCAGAACTTTGGCTTAATGTTCTGGCGAGTTTCTCTCAAAGTTATGAGCAAATGCTCTTTTAGTAATGTTCATTTACAGGTTTTTTCAGCTGCTTGCACACATTTTCAAAACTTTGCCTCTTTTTTTTCAAAACTTCACACACAAATCCAAGAATTGCACACAAAATACAAAATGCCTCTCATCTCTTGCAGAATGAAGCGCTGCATTCAAAATATCACAAACACATCTCAAAAGCAAACATTTGCAAACACCTTTGCCATAATATTAATTCCTGTTAGATTTTTGTGTTACATACAGAATTGTGTGTTGTGTTTTTCAAAAAGTGTTTTATAAAATTGAAAACTGAGTCATAGGCAGAGAATTATGGTTTTGCATTGCAGATTTGGTGTGTGCTTCTGCTGTTTGAGTGTCAGCTTTCAGAAACTGTGTGACAAGTGAAGATTTAGTGTGTAAGCGGTTGAAAAAAACAG